TTTTTATGTGTTGGATGTGGGTGCTGAAATTCAGGTGCAGGCCTAGGAATTTGCCCTCATTATGTCTGGCAATAAGAGTGTTGTCGATTTTAGTGTTAAGTTGTGCAACACCTGCTCTGTTACTAAACATAATATAGAAGGTTTTGTCAGTGTTAAGTGTAAGCTTACTGGCTGTCATCCAAGTAGATATTTTGAGTAGCTCCTTATTAACAATGGTGTTGAAGGTGACAAGATTTGGGTGGGAGATGACATAAGTCATGTTGTCAGCAAAGAGAATGGGTCTCAGATGTTGTGATACGTTGGGAAGATCACTGATGTATAAGAGGAAGAGTAGGGGACCAAGGACACTTCCCTGTGGTACCCCAGTATCAAATGGTCATGTTGATGAGGTTGTGTCTTTAATGATGACATACTGATACCTATTAGCAAGGTAGGATTTGAAATATGCAAGTGCATGGCCTCTTATGCCATAATCAAGTTTGTGGAGTAGGGTGCCATGATCTACTGTGTCAAAAGTTTTTCTTAGGTCAATAAAAAGTCCTAATGGATATTCCTTATTTTCCAGTGCTGTAAAGCAGATCTAGCATTTTTACAATTGCATCATTAGTGCTTTTATTTTTTCTGAAGCCAAACTGGTAGGAATTGAGTATGTTTTGTGCTGTTATAAATGAATATAATCTCTTGTGCATGAGCTCCTCGAAGATTTTGGATAGCAATGGTAAGTTTGATATTGGCCTATAGTTGTTTACATCTATGGGGTCACCACCTTTATGTATTGGTGTAACCCTTGCTGTCTAGAGTAGTGTTGGGAAAGTGCTAGTTTCTAGTGACTTGTTAAAAAGTAATGAAATAGCATGTGAAAGGACATGGGCTTCTCGCTTGTACAATAATGGTAGGATGTGAGACAGATTCCCTAAATTATTTTTAAGTGACTTAATAATCATGGTGACTTCAGTGGGCTCAGTAGGTGCAAGATAGAAGGAGTTTGGGAAATTCTCATCTAAGTAATCACTTACACGGGTGCTGGCACCTGGGATTTTACTGGGGAGATTAGATCCTATGGTTGAGAAGAAGTCGTTTATCTTGTTAACTGTATCAATGGGATGCAGTGGTGTTTTGTTTGGTTTAGTTATGCCAATATTCTTGTTTTTTTCAGTTTGTGGGTTCCCAGAATCTGAATGTGTGTTTTCCAGGTCTTTTTTTATATCTCCTCTTGTTTCAGTGAATCTGCTGGAGTAGTACAATTGTTTGACTTTTTTTATTAGTTTTGTGAGAACTGATGAATAGTATTTAAGAACATCTTTGTGTATTAAGCCCTGTCTATATTGCTTTTCATATTGTTTCTTATCAATGGATTTCAGTGTGCTGCTAGTTAGCCATGGGCACCCGAGCCGTTTATTCATGATCTGTTTCGTTTTTATAGGACAATGTTTGTTGTATAGTCTAAGTAATTTATTCAGAAATGTGTGTGTGTCCAATTGTCAATACCATTGGCCTTGGAGAATTCCATAGGCCAAGCAATGTAGCTTTATGTCTGAGCAAGTTGCAAGCATTAGAATTAGTCTGCCTGAAATGTTCAGGCATGTTACTGGCTTTCTTTGTGCTTAATAACATTTTACAAAATGTAAATCACAAATGTAACATTTGCAAAGAAATAAAAATTTGTATTTGTAATTCTGAATAGACCACCAAGAAATGTTTTGAACATCCTGCACCCTGACATCTCATGGATGAAGAGAAATGTGGTCTGGTGGGTATTACCACCTAATACCCAGAAATAAATCCTGCACAGTGCTCTAACATCACATGATCAAAAAAATGTTTAAGTCAGTTAGGTATTGCCACCTATTGCCCAGAAGTAAATCAACATACAATGGACCCCCGCATAACGATTACCTCCGAATGCGGCCAATTATGTAAGTGTATTTATGTAAGTGCGTTTGTACGTGTATGTTTGGGGGTCTGAAATGGACTAATCTACTTCACAATATTCCTTATGGGAACAAATTCGGTCAGTACTGGCACCTGAACATACTTCTGGAGTGAAAAAATATCGTTAACCGGGGGTCCACTGTACAGGAGGGCCCCACTTATACGGCAGGTTAGGTTCCAGGCTACCGCCGTAAAGCGGAAATCGCCGTAAAGTGGAACACCCTTTTTTTCCACTTATAAATGCATACAAACACTAGATAACAAGGTTACACTAACATATATTAAGTTAGCAATAGAACCAGGCATCAAAAAACAATAAAAAAGTACAATACACACATAGTGCACTCATTACTTACCTTAAAATATTTATAGTCTTAATCTAGGGTGAGACAAGTAGTATTTATTGTAAGAAATCAAGTGTGGTACATATGGTAATAGCCAGGCTACCTTACCAGGCCACCCCACCCACACATACTATTCTATGATATTTAAGCATCCCAGAGCGATAAAATGTATATACAGTTCACTCATTACTTACCTTAAAATATTTGTAGTCTTAATGTAGGGTCAGGAGTAAGTAAATGAGATAAAACGAATAAATGAGAGAGAGAAAGAATGAGTACATGAGAGGGGGCAGGCGCAGAGTTATGTAAACAAACCAGGCGAAGGTAAGTTTTGTAACAAACGAAGTGTACACATCTGGTTTGTGTACAAGTTACATTGTGTACAGGTTGTCTCTACATTGATACGGTAGAATTAATAAAGAAGAACACTCCCATTCTCATGTAACATCATTTTGAGAAGAAATGAAGCTCTGAGTGAAGGCAATGGAAATAAGTCACACTGACTTTTTTGGGTTATCCTAGGTTCTCTACACGTATGTTGTTATGTATGATAATCTATGTAACTGTATTTGTGTATACCTGAATAAACTTACACTCCCATACATACAAAGGAATTAATTTTCTACAGTTAACCCCCAGTAACACATTTTCTCTCTATGTTAGATTAGAGAAAATGTTATTCTTGCCGTCACTTGTACAAGTTATGTGGCTCCCACATCTTATATTTATGTTTATTTATTCTATTGTGGGGTGTATTTATCATCTTTTTATGTTATGTATCGTGTTTATTATAATAATTTAAAAAAAAATATCATGGATGGATTAATGAAAATGTGTATATTAACGTAATATACGACATTTAATGAGACTCGGTGTTTTATTTGTTATTATCATTTCTAATATGGCGTCACTTGTGCAAGTCGTCTGTACCACATCTCACATTTATGTTTATTTATTCTACTGTGGGGTGTATTTATCTTATTTATATGTTATGCATCGTGTTTATTATATAATTTTGAAAAAAATATCATGGATGGATTAATGAAAATGTGTATATTACCGTAATATACGACATTTAATGATGACTCGGTGAGTATTGTTATTATTATCATTTCTAATATGGCGTCACTTGTGCAAGTCGTCTGCTACCACATCTCACATTTATGTTTATTTATTCTACTGTGGGGTGTATTTATCTTATTTATATGTTATGCATCGTGTTTATTATATAATTTTGAAAAAAATATCATGGATGGATTAATGAAAATGTGTATATTAACGTAATATACGACATTTAAATGACTCGATGATTATTATTATCATTACTAATATGACGTCTGGAGACATAAGACACTTACCAATTTTAATGTGTACCTGCATGCCAGCACAGTATGTAAGTTTATTTAGGTACAGGTATACATAAGTATAATTATCAGAGTATATATAAAATATGAAATAACTTTTAAAAACATTTGAAATTTTGGAGTTTCCAGACAAAATGGAGAGACTTAGTGCTTACTGAGCTCACGGAGAATGTAAACAAACAGGGTGGGGCACGGTGACCGTATTAGAAAGTCAGGTGGGGGGAGCCGTATAGCGAGTTTTGGTCATAATTTGAAATGTCCGTATTAGCGGAACGCTGTAAAGTGAAACGCCGTAAAGCGGGGCCTTCCTGTATATCTATTTTTATGAAAGAAGTGCCCAACCATGTACATGGTCAGCCCTTTAAAAAAATTAAATACTATACCTAGTAATAATGTTTTCAACAATATTATAAGAGTGTATAAATCTTTGGTGAAGAGAAGGAGGGGGTAGATGGCATCCCAAGAAAGGTTGGAGGGATGCAGTAAAGGAAGTTCTGACAATGTGCTACTGGAGTACAAGCAAGATAACATTTATAAATGGATTCAGGGAAACCTAAGCACTTGAAATCATAGAACTCATTTTTGGTTTCATAATGCTCATTGTTGCAGCTGTCACTGGGGAATAAAACCCTTTCAATTTGCCAATGAGTGAGTGGCTCTGCATCTGCATGGCATGGTGAATAAGTTGTACTAAAGATGGAGTTCCCATAATGCACTGTGGCAAGCCCATTTTTTTGTATACTATGCAGACCTGTTCTTTCACATGTAGCCCTAACAGTCCTCTTGTGCCATTTTTGAGGCTGCTAGAATTTGTGAGTAGATCTACTTAAGTGATGCTGGCATCAGTAATGTAGATCTACATAAGATACACTGAAAGGATTAAGAAACAGTGTATGATATCCATAGACTCAAGGATAAATTTACAGACTGTGTTCTTAAGCTTGGTGGAGAAGCTAGTAAAGCTTTGCAGCTCCTTCGACTCAGAATAAAAGCTATTCAGAATCACCACTATCAATCACTACAGTTTACATCTCATTGCTCCACCATAAATATTAATGTAAATTATGTACAATACCATAAAATTACTTTACAATACAGTACTGTACTCTAGTACTACAGGTTACAATACCTATTCCTAGTGTTTGGTTGCCCTTTGCGTAAGTGGATCAAGTCCACTATGTATTTTCAGAAGACAACCAGATAATCGTGAAAAATTAATTTTGTAATTCAGAAATTTCAGATAATCAGCAATATTGTACACTCTCCTGCTACTATTAGTCCATTAATGAAAGGGTTTACAGTATATACTGTACATACACACACAAACATACATGCATCTACATGACTAGAATACACTTACTTTTTCTTTGTTATGTACAGGAGCAGTGAACATAACCTCGCTTGATGGAGCATAACTGCTGAGAGTCTTGGAAAATACACGGAAGTAGTATTTCTTTCCCGACTGAAGCTTCTTGACTGTAGAGCCATTAAGGGGAGAAACAAAGAAAGGTGAAGAAGGATTGACATCAACAAGTACGTACATACATATACACACTTGCACATGCACACTCAGCCATATATACATGACCTTATACAGTATACCAGAACAGTCTGAGTAAATGTTCAATAACAATATGGATGAGTGGACTGCATTTACTGATGTTTCAAGAAAACTGGAAACTGCACAATGGCTGAGGTATAAAAATTCAAACATAGTGGATGAACAATTTCTAATTTGAAAGGACATGTGAACATTTATGTAAGATAAAAATAGATCCCAATGGTAATAGGTCACAATGATTGTCTTTCCTGGGTTATCCTGGGTTATTAATTCTCCATGTAAATAATCCAAATAAAAATAAACAGGAGTAATGTCACTAGCAGGAAGCCATAAAATAGATGCTTGCTCCAATAATGTTTCTAATCTAATTAAATGATTTACCAGAAATAAAGGACTATAGGAATGTGTTTGCAGATAATGCAAAGACCCATGGCAAGATAAAGTAAAGTTTATTTCTTTGTAAAGGTTACAATGTGTAATTACAAATTTGATTTGCTAAGTACAAAGATAGCCACTATCATGCCCAGGCATTTTGGGCAAACTAATCCTAATACATAGTAATTAATTAAAACTAGATAAGATAATAGTACATAGTAACTATACTTAAAACTAGACAAGTAATAGTGGTTAGCTGTTTTACAGTCTTATTTAAACTTAATTCAATCTTATTTAAACTTAGTACAAGTGAGTAGAGTTTGGTAAAATAAGCTTGAAATTGCACACAAAATCTACCTTGAAAGTAATAATGCAGGTGGTAATATTTTATGGAATGGCAGAATTAAAAGCCAGGAGGTCATATGATAAGACTAATTAGCAGATGTTTTGGCAGATTTGGTTAATATTGAGAAATAAGATGAAGGGTTGTTGAGGTGGTTCGGACATGTGGAGAAAATGGAGCGAAACAGAATAACTTCAAGAGTGTATCAGTCTGTAGTGGAAGGAAGGCGGGGTAGGGGTCGGCCTAGGAAAGGTTGGAGGGAGGGGGTAAAGGAGGTTTTGTGTGAGTGGCTTGGATTCCAGCGGGCATGTGTGAGCGTGTTTGATAGGAGTGAATGGAGACAAATGGTTTTTAATACTTGACGTGCTGTTGGAGTGTGAGCAAAGTAACATTTATGAAGGGATTCAGGGAAACCGACAGGCCGGACTTGAGTCCTGGAGATGGGAAGTACAGTGCCTGCACTCTGAAGGACGGGTGTTAATGCTGCAGTTTAAAAAACTGTAGTGTAAAGCACCCTTCTGGAAAGACAGTGATGGAGTGAATGATGGTGAAAGTTTTTCTTTTTCAGGCCACTAGTTTTATTATGTGACCTCTAGACTCTTAATTCTGCCAATCCATAAAATCATCTTTTTATTATTTTTTTTTATTAGCACACTGGCCAATTCCCACTCCAGGTAAACTCCAGGTGGGAATTGGCCAGTGTGCTAATAAAAAAAAAATAATAAAAAGATGATTTTATGGATTGGCAGAATTAATAGTCTAGAGGTCACATAATAAAACTAGTTAGTAGATGTTTGGTTGATATGGTTAATATTGTGAGATAAGATGGTTTTTTAGCAAAGTCCTAAATTTATAAGCTGTCAGGGGATCCTTGACCTGTTCTGGTAGCGAGTTCTAGATCTTCGGGTCTTTTATGTGCATAGTGTTCTTGCATAGTGAGAGTCTGACTCGAGGGATGTTGAAAAGTGCCTTATGCCTTGTATTGTGACTGTGCCTTCTGTTGTAACTGTCAAGGAGTAGTTTTAGGGGAGGGTTTACAGTGGAGTTTAATGTTCTGTATATGTAGTAGGCACAATAATAAGAGTGTATGTCTTGTATATTTAGCAAGTTGAGTCTTTTGAAAAGTGGTGGGGTGTGTTGTCTAGCACAGGAGCTGGTTATCACCCACACAGCAGCTTTTTGTTGGATTATTAAGGGTCTAAGGTTGTTGGCTGTGGTTGAGCCCCAAGGACAAAAACCATAGGTGAGGTAAGAATATATTAGAGAATGGTACAAGGTAAGGAGAGTCATTTGTGGTACATAGTATCATATCTTGGAAAGGATTCCTACTGATTTGGAAATTTTCTTGGCTATGTGATGGGTATGGGACTGAAATTTAAGATTACAGTTAAGGAGAAGACCTAGAAATTTGCCCTCCGCATGTCTTGATACAGGGGAACCATTTAACAGTATGTTAAGTTGGATATTTGAGGCTCTGTTGCTAAACAGCATGAAGAATGTTTTGTCTATGTTGAAAGTGAGTTTGTTGGTCATCATCCAAGCATATGTATCCTTACAGTGTATCCTTACAGGAAGACTTGGACAGATTGAGCAAGAGATGAATGATGAAATTTAATGTGAAGAAATGTTATGTAATAGGCCACACAAAGTATAAAATATGTAATAAAATTTTGAAGACATTAGATAGAGAGGGCCTCAGAAATCACCAATGATAAGATACTGTCATCAGAAATTGAAATAAATGAAATACAGGTCAGCCATCACTAATCCGGCAATCAGTTATCCAGTTTCATCAGTAATCTGGCACTAATTTTTGGCTAGCATAATTTTAAATTTCATCATTATACTGACTCAAATTTCATCATTATACTGACTCAGAAATAGTGCAGAGGGTTGTAAATCCACAGCAGCAAGCCAGTGGAAGAGAAAGCAGTGATGATGATAAGGAAGATGTAACAGAAAGAGTCTCTACTGATAGGTTAATTAAGTGTATTCTAACCTAACCACTCTGTAATCCAGCAAACTCACTAATCCGGCATATTGCAGGTTCCAATGATGCCGGATTAGTGATGGCCAACCTGTAACTAGAAACTGTCTTTTATCCCAAAAAAATAAAACTAAGAGGTGAACCTTGCAAACTACTGCTTACATTCAGTAGACACTACCCAGTACATGCAAGTGAATATACAGTATGTACATGTACAACAGGGATGTACAGTGGACCCTCGGGTAAAGGCGTCATCGGCTAGCGCTAAAATCGGCTACGTGCATAAAATATTGGCTTGGTTAACACCAAATAACTCGGCTAAGGGCTTTTGTCCCGAAAGTGTCCGCGCGGCCTGAGTGGGCCCGGCCACTCCATACTCCTTGTACAGCCAGTGTGCCATTGTTTACAAAGCCAGTGAGGATGATTCCACGCATACATGCGATATATTTTGTATTATTCCATTGTTTTTACTGCTTGTAACTGCTAAATAAGCCACCATGGGCCCAAAGAAAGCTTCTAGCGCCAGTCGGCTAATAAAGAAGGAAAGAAACACAATAAAATTAAAGATAAAACTCATAGCAAAGTACCAAAATGGAGGAGGAAGAGAGAGGGGAGAATGTGCCTTCTGCAGTGATTCAGTGATTCTACGATACGTACGATACTACAGCAGCAGGTATCTATAAAGGCCATAATGCCAGCCAGCAATAAAGTGTAGAAGTAACAGTGTAGCCAGTAAGTTAAGTGAGAAAGCGATAGAAAAATGACACGAAAGTAACTCTCCAATGTTGTTGAATGTGTATCGAGCCACTGAACATATGCCACCCTGCTACGTATCTTCCACCACCCTAAACCTCTGCCAGCATCTCTTCAATCAAACTAACTAATTAAGCTAACATCTCCTCCAAGGTAAGTGTAAATATAAAAGTGTAAGCATAAAAGTAAATATAAGTGTAAATATAAAAGGACCCCAATGGAAATACATAAGAACATAAGAACGAGGGAACACTGCAGAAGGCCTACTGGCCCATGCGAGGCAGGTCCAAGTCTCCTACCGGCTTAAGCCAATGCACCCAACCTAGACAGGTCAGGTCACATTGACTTAAGGGAGGAACACGGCAACCGACCTGTTAGCACAAGCTATCAGGTCTAACTCACACCCACCCACATCCACTCATGTATTTATCCAACCTATTCTTAAAGCTACACAACGTTCTGGCCTCTATAACGGTACTTGGGAGTTTGTTCCACTCATCCACAACTCTATTACCAAACCAGTACTTTCCTATATCCTTCCTGAATCTGAATTTTTCCAACTTAAAACCATTGCTGCGAGTCCTGTCTAGGCTAGATATTTTCAGCACACTATTTACATCCCCTTTATTTATTCCTGTCTTCCACTTATACACCTCAATCATATCCCCCCTAATTCTACGTCTTTCTAGAGAGTGCAGTTTCAGGGCCCTCAGTCTATCCTCATAGGGAAGGTTTCTGATACATGGGATCATCTTTGTCACCCTCCTTTGTACATTTTCCAGAGAATTTATATCCATTCTGTAATACGGTGACCAAAACTGTGCAGCATAATCTAAATGAGGCCTAACCAAGGATGTACAGAGTTGAAGAAAAAACCTGAGGACTCCTATTATTTATGCTTCTTGATATGAAGCCAAGGATTCTATTGCTTTATTGCAAACACTTATGCACTGTTGTCTTGGTTTCAGATTACTGCTAACCAGAACTCCTAAATCTTTTTCGCAATCCGTAATATTAAGATTTTTACATTATTTAGTTTTTTATGTGGATTGGTTATTGTCCTGTCCAACATTTAGAACTTTGCATTTGTCTATATTAAAACTGCATCTGCACTTCTCCGACCACTGCATCAGTCTATTCAAATCTTCCCGGAGTGCTCGAATGTCCTCGTCAGAATGAATTCGACGGCCCATTTTGGTGTCATCGGCAAAAATTGCCCATGTCGCTCTTTATGCCCTCATCTATGTCGTTATGTAGATTGGTGAACAGCAGGGGGCCCAACACTGACCCCTGTGGAACACGCTCGTGACGCTACCCCACTCTGATTTCTTCCCCATTTATGCAAACTCTCTGCTGCCTATTTGTCAACCATGCCTCTATCCAGGAAAAAATTTCTCCTCCTATTCCATGTGCTTTAATTTCCTCAATTTGTCTCTGATGTGGGACCCTGTCAAAAG